TGAAAGCATGCGAAGAATGCTATGAGGGCATGAAAAACGAGTCATTTAAGAAATATATTAAATGGAAATTTATACCTCCGGGAGCACCGCACATGGGTGGCGCCTGGGAGAGGTTAGTAAGATCGATTAAAATTGCGTTGACCGCTACGCTTAAGGAGAAGAGCCCACGAGAGGAGGTTCTACATACGTTACTTTTAGAAGCAGAGCATACGGTAAATTCCAGACCTCTGGTAACATTCAGTATGGATAGTCCTGAAGAGGGTTTGACACCCAATCATTTTCTTCTGGGACGCTCATGTGGTGATCGACCACCTGGATTATTTTTAGAGCGACATCTGACGGGTCAACTCAATTGGAAAGCTGCACAGAGGTTGGCCGACCATTTTTGGACAAGATGGCTGAAAGAATACATGCCTACGTTAATACCTCGAACAGGTGATAACGGCAAGTTCATGGAACCTAAAGAAGGCGATATTGTTTTGATAATAGATCATTCGTTGCCACGAAATACGTGGCCAAAAGGTAAAATTAGTAGAACGTTACCGGGACCAGACGGTCACACCAGAGTGGTTGACGTCATTACTAGCACAGGTATCTTGAGGAGACCTACATCCAGAATAATAGTCCTGGTACCCGCGACGCCTCCCAAATGATGGTGCTAACGCACGGGGGGGAGATTGTTGGCGACGCGCCTATAAAAATGTTTCAGTTTATTAAATCAACCGATGACGTTGCTATGAAAAAAGGGGTAGTCACGAGCAACGACGCTCTGATAAGAGAATGCTTAGTTAAATCTTTAAGAAATGTCGAATTAATGATATGAAGGTCTTGGGTTCGACTCCCAGGCCGGACTAGTTTGTTTGTTTTCCTAAGTAATATCGCTTAATAAATTCGTAAGGAATTTAAGATATAAATTATGTTACCGGATTTGTTCCCCGGTTGAAATCATCTTTCAAATGTTGTAAATTCATAAGAATATTAAAGTGAAGTTAAAGATCGGATTTGTTCCCCGGTCGAGATAATCACTCTGTGCATAGGCAGAATTAATGGATATTAATTGCATAAATGTTGTTTTGTATAAGTTTGATACGTTTTGTACGAAAACAAATGCCTATTTGTTATGATTGATTAATGAGAACATTCATTTATATTGTTATCTGATTAAAGATAGTTTCATACAGTTCGAAAATTGTATAAAAGCATTTAATTTGCCTAATGTGGTCAAAATTGGTGTATTTCATAATTTAATTTTTTCTGATAGCCGAGAGCCGTGCAAAGTTAGTTGTTCACATAGCGTGAGTACACGGAAGCACGCTGGCCACGCCCTTAGGAGGCCGAATATGTAAAAATTTAAAATGTTTGTAATTCAGTGATTTATGTAAAAATTACTTGTAAAATATTTCAGGTTAATTGTACGTGCTAAAAAGGTAAATTCTGTGTTATTTTCATGTGAAAATTCCTGTGTATAAGTGAAATAATGATAGTTTTGTATAAGAAATTTAAAAGTGTTTTAAATAGTGAAATAAATAGAAAAAATGTAAATTAAACTATTGTATTGGTTAGCTTATGTATAAATTCAAGTGAGAAACATTGTTTTAACTTTCTGTGTTAAATATTTAAGAAATTTCGATTTCGAACTTGTGAGTAAAATAGGCAGTTTTCGTTTAATAAATAAAAGGTTTTTTATGATATGAAGATATGATGTATATCATGGTGTAGATATTGTTTTGTACTACCTATATTGATAAATTGTATTTGTATATGATTTGAATAAATAAAGATATTGAGTGAAACGTGAGAGAGTAATAGTACAAATTCATGTAATTAAGTTGCGCAAGCGCGCAGATGGCGCGGCTCACTTTCGCGTTTAGCTTAGGGGTAGGATAGTAAATTGATTTTATTGCAATTCGTTCGGGAATGGTTCGGGAATCGTTCGGGAATCGTTCGGGAATGGTTCGGGAAATATTCAAGGAAATCGTTCGGGAATCGTTCGGGAATGGTTCGGGAAATATTCAAGGAAATCGTTCGGGAAATATTCAAGGAAATAGTTCGGAAATAAATAAGAAAATCCGGGAAAAAGTTCAAGAAAAGTGAAAAACCAGCAGTATAGGGAAAAGTGATTACTCTCTCACGGAACGGTTTGAAGATAATTGCTGTTTCATTCCCAAGATCCTTTAAGTTATACAGTCCACATCGAAGAATTAAGGCGTCGGGACCGGGACGACTTCGGAAGACCCGTAATCCCCGTCTGAACCTACTTGCTGAAAAGGAAGAGGTTATCGCCCTAGTGTGTTACTCCGTTGCGGAGATCACATACGTTGTTCCCGAACCCAACGTAGGCGTGATAGGAGGCCGGATCGAGAGAAGCCTCGATTCCTGTTTCTTAGTACCCGATCCGCTAGGTCCTTTTCAATTGGTCCTTTTCAGGATCAAGAGGGACACCGACCTGGTCCTTTTCACATATGCTTCTCAATTATAGCAAACAATTAACATTTATTTCTATCGTCTTTCGTACGTAGGACCAGACGATCCGTTGGAAAAGTCGATTACGAGTTCCAACGATTTATTAGCAAAGTCGGTTAAAGGACCCGATGATGCATTTGAAATAACGCTTTAAAGAAAAGTAGAATTTCTTATATAGAAGATTGCTTAGTGGGAATGTTTCAGCGCTGAAACAAACTGTTTAAAAATGCGTAGGGGCGTCGAAAAGGGTTTGTGCTTATGTAAAATAGCCGTAGAAATGAGAGAAACGGCCTCCTTAGATTGGCCGGTCGTTTACCTTTCAAATCCAATTTAACGGAGAAATACAGGTAACCTGTCATTTTGATCAGTACACACGAGTTTGTAAAAATTGGTCACGCCAATCACCAGACGGTGATTAATGAAGTGAACCAGAAGTTTTATCTATTGAATTTACGTAATACCATTCGCAGTGTATTACACGACTGCCAGTGGTATAAAACATATAAATCGAAGCTGCAGATTGTGCCGCAAGGGAATCTTCCATTAGATTTATTTTATATTTCTATATATATATATATATATATATATATATATATATATATATATATATATCAATCCTGAACTGAGGCAGATAGAGTTTAAATTTATTTCTTAGCATGGCACTTCTGCTGAATTAACTTGAGTTAATGTTGAAATATTGTGAATGCTGTTTGACAAAAACACAAAGTTCCCGTAGAGGCAGTATGTGAAATTTGTAAAATAAAGGCATGCAACTATCTAAAGACCAAGCTCCACAAATTGCCTATACACACTTTTTCTACTTTTACTTTTGAACACGAAAGGCCTTGCAAACCTGAACTGAGTTGCCCCACAATAAACCCTCAATACCAAAAAAAAGACCATGCAGTCGCATGCGCCCGGCAAATCCCGAGCGGTCGCATGCGGCCGCACCCACCCGCAGCACTTAAAACGATTAAAACTTATATTTAGAGACTACTTTTCTGTGTAGGAGTTTGGCATTATAAAATCTAAACAAAATTCTCTATATAAAGGTCAGGTTTTACTTCATTACAAAAAGACAATTGTATTTTGGTAACAAAAACAAAATATACCAAGCGAATGTCGGCAGCGTGAAAATAACAATTATTTCAATATATATTACTCGAAATTATTTACGTAAAAAGATAAATTATATTCACACAAAAACTTTCATTACAATTTTACAATAAAACACTATACTAAAAACACTAATAAAATACTAGAAAAATCCAAAAATCAACACAATAACATTCACGCGAAAATTGCGTACGAAATGAACGTAGGTTATAAATAAATATCCATAGGATAACTTGACTTTTTATTGCACTAAAGGATAGAAAATTTCATATTGGTTCTATATTGCCAAACTTCTTCATAGAAAAAGAGTCTCTAAATATAACTTTTAATGGTTTAAAGTGCTGTGGTTGTGCGCTGTCGAATCTGACCGCTTGACCGCGTGACGTGAGACGACACTATACCCTGGTATCTTCAAAAGCTGCTCCATACCTTATTTATAAGCGTTTCAGTCAAACATACTATTTATGTCTATTTTTTATTAGAGGATTAAGAGGCTGTAAACCATATTTTTAAGCGTGCAAAAAACAGATCGCGAACTGATTCTTTCATATCTGCTCATCGATACCTGTGTTTTTGATATACCCAGATATCGAAACATGGTTCTTATTTTGATGGGCATGGATAAGTCTTTGACTTCAGGGTTAGCCACTCAACACCTTCAACATAGAGCACTTCACACATTACCATTCCCAGCCCCATTCTGATAGAAAGCTAAAATTACAAGTTAGTGATGTTAAGCAATTCAATATGATGGAAGCGACTGGAGGCAAGTAATTTGAGATCATCCATATAACAAAAGGTGGCTCACTTATGTCCTACATTTGAAAAGAGCCCTCCAATAATGTATTGATAGAGCTCAGAGAGAGGCAAAAACGGATCGGAATTAAACAATCACCCCGGATTATACTCGTACATATCCTTATTCTGTGTTTCGTATTCGACCGTACTGCACTGTCGCTTAACTGATCGAGGAAGCCTCTTACGTACAGTCAACCTTATACAGTCATTAACCACGTATGAGGTGCTAATATTTCTAGGCGACAAAGAAGTTTCGAACCATCTTTCCAATGACCGTGTCCATGAGAAAAAGTTCCTTGATTCCACTACCGCTGCCATTTATTATTATTCTTATAATTAAAATGTTTATATCAACCAGATGGGAATATAATATGGAGATACTCCAAAAATATGCAAAATTATTTTTTAGAAATCTTTAATCCATAATATTATCTATTGAAATTATTGTACATACATAATTTAAGAGATGTGATAATTTAAAAAAAAGTTACTACACGAAAAATTCATAAATTACTGTTGTATTTCTGGAGATGGAAATACTATATGTCTGAATTATAATATGTGTGCTTATATATTTTATTTTAATTATATGCCATATTTAGGTAGTCGATGCCCAAAAAAATTTAATTTTTGTTACCCAAACCAATACCTAGAAGATTTTGATTACCAAGATCTAGATCTAGTATGTTGTTGGGGTCATTCTGGTTAAGCAAGTCTAAGTTAATGAGTCCTTCACCAGAATTATAGTTGTTGCCGCTGTAACCACAACAGCCGTTTTTATCATTATTTTTGTAGCAACTCCCTCCGTTGCCAGCGCTGCTAACTGTTGTGTATACGAGAGCATTGATTAATTTTATAATTATTTCTTCAACATCTACGCCATTTTTGCATGTTGGTTTCGAATATTCGTTTTCTTCAAGAGCACGAGCTAACGTTATTAGAAGGTTTAATTCGTCGTAGTAGCATGGTGATGTGCATGGTCTACGGGGTAGACATTGCGCATCAGATATCTGTAAATTTATACAAAACAAAAATAAAAACTTAAATATTATCAGTGACGATACCTTTATACAAGCCAAAAAGCCCGGCATAACCTATGTAATTCACCACACTGAACGTAAACTGGTTACAAAAAAATATTAAAAATTTTAATATACGTAAACTAGGTAGGAGATATTTAAAATACTAACAACTGTGACGAATTAAACATGGTAGTGCCATGTTGCAACTATATTGTGGTTGTAGCACGAATGGGTCAGTTCTACCGGAAAGGACCACGCTCTCACAGAATACTGGTGCGAAAAAGCAGCTTTATGCTGCTGTGTTTCGTATTTTAGTCTTCAGTGGTGACAAATTATCTGCATTTTGATTCTCATTCGTCGATAGATGTAGATGTCTGTAGGCCACATCATTCACTTACCATCAGGTGGAAAGTGCGCTCGTTTGAAACCTTTATTATATAAAACAAAAAAGAATAACGACTTCATAAAGCATTCTCAAAAAGCACAGTGTATCTATTAGAAAAACCTCTAAACGAAGAGTTATAGTTTTTTTTAAATGTTTGAAACAAAGTAATCAGAATGCTCAATATACCTTTGTATTTAATGAATGGTATATTATGTTGTTTATTTTGTTATATTATAAGCATATAGCTAATAAAAGCAGTTTATATATTAAAGGCATAGCAAATAATAATAAACTTAACATAAAAACTTAAATGAAATACCTCACACAGGGACGCTACCAACACAAAAGAAATTAAATATAACAGAGCCATTTTTACTAAGAAACTAATGCTGCTTGTCTGTGGAAACCGCCTTTTTATACATGTTTTAATTAGCTTACGAAACAAAGCGTCTAATATTTAAATGTAATTATTGTTTTTATACTCGATTAACTTTTTGTATTCTATCACGTATAAAATTTTCTGTATTCATTTGATATACAGATTTTTCATTTAGTAATGTGTAAAGAGTTCGGTATTTATTTGATAAATTGATGATTCAGTGTGAACAGTGTTTTGCATATTCAATTTAATCTTAAAGAACCCCCAAAAATAAAGTTGTAGTTTGTAGCCCCACGGTTGCGCACGATCTTGCCGGAGCAATTAATTGCTGCGTTACTCCAGTACGTTTGTCGGACATTGTTTTTCCTTTACATGTCTACGAAATATCTTTTTCAATTCCTCAGACATGCAAATTTACCCTCGATATTTTCCTTCACCCCCATACAAGCATTGACTTATATATTACTAGCGCATATATGTGATAAATTAGCTCCTTAAATTAATTGATAGAATCAGGCGTTACTTTGCGGAAATCCATTATAATAAAAAATAAAAATATAAATTTCTTTGCAACTTTCCGCTAAACATATAAAATGATGTGTCTTACCTGGATTGAAGTGTCACTTTAATTCAGGTAAGACACATTTCAAGTCACTTCAATCCAGGTAAGACACATCATTTTATATGTTTAGCGGAAAGTTGCAAAGAAATTTATATTTTTATTTTTTATTAGCTCCTTAAATCTAAATTAATGATTTCATTGGTGACGGCGGGAACTGAATTCGGGTAACACGCAAGCTGTATTACAGCGAACTCTTACCCTCTGAGCTAATTGTAGAATAGATAGAAAACGGTCACGTACTTACTTACTGTTTTATAGAAACACATACAACATTTACTGTGAAATTAAAAATATTTCGTCGTTGTTATTACATAATATGAAGTAGAGTACCTACAAACTGTTTATTTATGATTCTAAACAAAAGAAATTAAATAGTTTCTGGAACATGACTCTTAAGCGTTCATTCAATTTGGTCAATATAATTTAAGATTAGTTGTATATTACTAGTTGCCACAACTTTACAACAGTTCGCGAATTTTGCGTGTAGGCAGAAATTAATGCTATTTGAGGCATCTTATTTGTAATGTCGCTTGAGTTCTCGGGAAGCGACCTCAGCAGAGATATTTAGTCCTATAGCAGGCAACCGCAGGTCACCTAAGTAAGACGTGAGTCACTATCTCTTCCCACTCCATGCAGACTTTGCTAACAATTTGAAATTTGAATTTCAATTAGAAATTAATTCAAACGAAGCAGTTTTCAGAAATTCGGCTGCTGATGTCTGATGTAATATCTCTCTGGCTTACCCGCTTTCCATGTTCTTTCTTGGCATTGTTTGTTGTTTCTTGGTCTTATTTTCATCCTACTTGAGATATTACAAACCCAAACACAAGTGAGATTATTTATTCTTGACCAAATGCTCTACGTGATGAGCCGCTCCAGGTTAGATCATCTGCGGCAAGGCCACCAAAGCCTGTCAGAAAAATATAAAAAATAAGTAAGTAAAAATTCATGAGAAATTGACGATTCACTCTTGATTGAAAAAAAAAATAAGGAGGATTTCGTATACGATATTGTATACGAAAATTATTGTTTTAATTATTTATTACGCCTCATAAATAGAACCCAACATATTCATGAACAAAAATATATTTATGCTACTTTTCTGATTTATTCAGAAAAATATTTTTGATACTTAACCAGAAATAACTTTTTTATATTTATAAAAGAAACATGAGGTGTATTACAAATTTAGAAACTGCATTATAGTATAGTATGTGCCAAATCGATTGAGAAAAACGGACAATGACCTTTCGGCCGTTTAACCAGGGATTACAAACTTTCAATATATAGGCACATTTTATATGTAGTACTTTCTTTATTTATAATGATTTTTTTACAATGATTGATGTAATATATATTTATTAACTATTATTAAAAAGTTATGTAAAAGATTGCTGTAGAAGCAAAATCATCTATTGTTGTAAAGTACTTTATTCATTTAACAACAAAAAGCATTAATTTATAATACATATAAAGATTCGAGTGCTAACGACACCGAATAAGTACGCACTTATTCAAAAGATAAAACTTTTCTTTCAATATTATATAAGAACTTTATTTTTATTCGGTGCAATCATTACTCGTATCTTCACTTGATGTGTATTCAGATGAACTGTCTGTAACATTAGTTATAAAGCGATCTGCAGTTTGGTCACTTGTATCATCCATGCCACGCATTTTTTGTTCAACCTTAAGCACATGCTAAACACAGTTTTTCCTTTTATCTGGCATGATTTGAGTTAATCCATCTTTAGTCCATTTTTAAGTAAATTTTTAACATCTGTTAACTTGAAAGTTGTATTGGCCCAAAAAAGGTGACGCATCTCTGGCTGCCATTGTCACGTTTCTTTTAGAACGAACTGACGTAACGCGCGTTTTGTTTATTTTAAAGGGATGAATTTGCAAAAGCTCAATATGGTGATTATATTCCTTCAAATATTTTTTTTAATATGAAACTGTTATTAAATGAATTGCTGCGTTACTTATCATAAATTGAAATATAAAATATAACACATTTTTCGCGATGTAGCCTAAGATTTTACGATGTTTATTGGAACTACCGACAATATAATTTAAGAAACAAAAAAACAAAAACATATGTGCTGACCTAGAAGTGTGAATAATATCAATATTTAAATATTGTTATCACATCTAAATTGAGATTTTGTAAGTTACGCCTTTTGACACTCGGCTCATATCTTAGGTCATTGCCCGTTTTTCTAAATCGATTTGGCACATACTATAGACATATTATTTCAGTAAATGGCTTCCCAAGTTTGCGTACTTTATTTCGGAAGACACTCATGCTCAATTTTTGTCACAAGAAACGAATACTACACTTACATTTATTTTAAGATTTTCTTCGTTCTCTTCGTTCATGAATATGTTTTGATAAATCGCTGAATCCAAAATCATTTATTTTATTTACTGAGTACCTTTAGTAAGATTCGAGTCAATCACCGAGTAAAATAAAAAAATCCACACAAATCCTTTCTTAGTGGATGTCTACGTTCTACAAAGCAGAAATTTTGAGTTTCTACGTCTTGCGATTTCCTCTTTTATATATCGTCATCTGTGATCCTCTTTTATACATATAAAAAATAACCAACATCCCCAAGAGGAAAATGAAATATCACGCCCGAGATACCGCACCGCGGTCAAATGGTTAATTTTAAACCACTGAAATAATATGTCTACTATTATGAAGTTTCTAAATTTGTAATGCACCTTATGTTTCTTTTACAAATATGCAAAGTGTATCAAAAATAATTTTCTGAATAAATCAGAAAAGTTGCATAAATAGATTTTTGTTCTTAAATATCGTATTTATGAGGCGTAATAAATAATTAAAACGACAACTTTCATAGCATATTCTTCATTTTTTAATTTACATGTTCATTTATGTGTTCAAACTGTCTCCCTCCTACTCTAATACATGATGTATTAGTTCTGCGCCATCTTATAAATAATTCTCGCGTGTCCACCCATTAATGTGATCAAGAGTGAATCATCAATTACTGATGAATTTTTGCTTACTTATTTTTATATTTTTCTTTGATGCTTTGGTGCTCTTGCCACAGATGATCTAGCCTGCAGCGGCTCAGCACGTAGATTTTTTGTTCAAGAATAAATAATCTCAATTGTGTTTGGGTTTGTGTTATCTCAAGTAGGATGAAAGTAAGACCAAGAAAATTAAATTATAAATTAAAACAAAAATAAAACAATGAATTTTAAATATTTCATAACTTTTGTGCATAGAAGAATTATCACCTCAATGGATAAACTTATTGCACGCAGCCATAATACAATAAATCAGAAAACACAGTTTCTGAATGAATACAGACAACAAAAATAACGCCATTTTGAAAAAAATTGACAGGTTTTCTTTGCTGGGATAACTAGCTTGCTATAACCATTTTGGAGTAAAGTCCTACTCAGGTGCCGACCACCGACTGTGTATTAACCAACTTAGGGAGACCTAGGTCAATGACAATATTTTTTTTAAATGAAGGTAAATATATAACTTAGAGTCATTACCATTTTCTTATCTAAAAATAAAAATTATCAACAATTAAAATATCGTATTATTTATATGAAGGTCAACTTAGCGCTAGAAAAAACGACGATTGCAAGACGTTGTCGATATATAAAATAAATTTGAGAAATTATCCATTACCATATTGGGGCGGTGTATTAAAATCCATATCATCCCGTGAATATCGTAAGAGGCGCTTATACTTGGGGGAAAGTGTTATTTTTAAGTAACCGTGACCATCGTTCCAGTTACAAAATAGTCACAGTGAGAAATCATCGTGACTTTGTCACGTTGGATAACCACCTGGAACATTAGAACGACTAATAACGTGACTTTAAATATGCATTTTAGATTTAGTATTAGGTTTTATTTCAGCAGTAAATTTTTTATTATCTTTCTCACCTAAGCTACGAACGTGACTATGTTATAAATACCGTTCTAATTATTATTTTGAAAGAAATTATTATTGTGAAAGAAATAAATTTCACCTGACCTAGTCGAACAGTCGGTGTACCATTCCAGTACACCGTACTGTACCTTATTACGCAGTATCAAGGTACGTGTAAGTTAGATGAATAACTAATATTATTTTTAGAAAAATGTATTGATGTCTAACGCCTCGGCAAAATCTGACAGTAGGAACCGGACACATGCAAAGATACCGATACAAAGATAAAAATTTAAATCAAAATATTATATTAAGCAAATAAAAATATACAATATAACTATATAGATATAATAATACACTCAGTAGGTACCTCTAATGAATATAAAATCAATCATAGGTATATACTATATTACACTATCTTTGACCAATGCTATTTTTATTGAAAACATCTTTGTCATAATATTCACGATGTATAGGGATTATATCAAAATACGTAATTTTCGTACATTGGACCTTGTAGAATATATAAAAATTGTGTTTTTGTACACGATTTATAGTGAAAACGTCTTATTAGTTTGTGGTGAAAACTGACACTTTACATTTCATTTTAGTTACTTCTGACTACTTTATTTCTCACGTGAATGACACAGTATTTGAAATGCAAATTTTATAAATTGTTACGAGACAAAATATAAGCAAATAACTTTTAAAAACAGACAATTTTTTAACATTTTATTTAAAAAAACTAACAACAAACTTACTTTTGTATCTACTATTTTTATTAATGTAGTGTTCTCTTGCACTCAAACGGTGAAAAGAAAAGTAAATAGTATATGAAGTAAACGCGATGGGTAGGTAAAGGCGGCTTTAATTATCGAAAAGTTGTATTTTTTGCGTATATTACAGAACTGCTCAATGGATGAAGTTTCTGAGGGATTCGTCTGTGATATGAAATCGTACATTTGTACTAAGACACTGTTATGCAAAAAAATTGCAAAGACAGATTTCCAACGATAAATACTTTTATTGACTCTCCAAATTACTACAAAAATGGGTTGTCAAAAAAGACCAGGGATCATAACCGGAACTGAAAAATTGATTGTAAGAACAGAATTAAGGACACGATTCAAATTGCTAAAATAGATTTAGCAAAACTTTTGAAAGAGCTGATACCAAAATTTTTGGTTCATAAACAAATTATTACGAATCAATATGAATACATCAACTTCTTGAAGAAGAATTTGGAGGTAGAAGAGGTATTACTACATATGGACTTTTCAGAAAACTACCAGAAAAATATTCTCAGGAAATTCAATCCGTACATTACTGAGCTTCCCGCCAGCAGCTGACATTACATACCATAGTTGCATATTACCGAGATTGCACCAATGATCAAGTTGTCACGCGCTCTTTTTGCACGTTATCGGAAAATCTTCGCCACGATGAATGTGCTGTGTACGCTCACATCTTACCCGTTCCATATGAAATTAACAAAAGATCACCAATACACAGTCCTCATTTCCTTAGCGATGCTCCTCCCACATAATATTGCAACAAAGTTTTTAATTTGCGGAAAGCTGAACGGTCCTATTCATCCTCTGGTCGTAGGAGCGCTGGATGGTGTAGGTGGTAATACTAAAAGAACTGCCGATAGATTTGTTTCCCAAGGAACAGATATTACATATATATATGACTTTAGTTCACAGGAATCAAACATTACATACATGTTAGTATACGAAAGTGATATTATACCAATTGACCCCATCGTTCCCAAGAATTTAAAACCAATTCGAGGAATCTTTTCCTTAACTTAGTCCTGAAATTGCACATGAAGTGTTAGAAAATACTGTGCCAGTAACTGAAGAACGCAACATATCTCAGATCTTCAATATCAGCTGTTGCAACCGGGAATTGATAGAAGGTAACTGGGTTGTTATTAAATTTGTCTGCAAAAAGACAGAAGTATTATAAATTGGTCAAATTGTCACCGCACTGGATTCTAAGAATTTGATCAAGTTTTTGAGAAAGATAAGTGTGATGATGAGTACATGGAGTTTGCTTGGCCGCAGTGTGAAGATATTTCGTAGGTCAATGGTGAAGATATTATTCCTATATTACCATAACCACATTGAAGTCGAAGAAATGTAATATATATTTCGGAATAATATATAATTCGAAGAAATATTATACATACTTCAAAAATAATTTTTTAAGTTCATTCTCTCATTTTCGCTAAGATTATTCCAATGAATAGGATTCTTTGCGGTGTTTGATTTATCTAAGAATGATTATGTTATTAATACTTGTTATTAGTTTATTATGGTTTCTCGTTTATGGTAATTTTAATAATCTCAGATACTTTATTTTATAAGAGTTTTGCAAAGTTATATACTAACTAAATAATGTCGATTAATAACAATTAAATTACTTTTAAAAGGTTGTCTATGTGACCAAGTAGAACTGAATAAAAGACTGTTACATACTTAAAAAACTGAAAATAACTAAATGCCATATTGATTAGGTAAATAAATGTAATAATTGAAAAACTATCGTTTTAGTCGTTAATAACTCATTCCTAATTTATTGAAATTTTACAAATATGTCACTACCGTGGAGCTGTTTGACTTTCGTGGTTAGGTGTATTCATTTTTCATTATTTTTGCTAAAACTGCAGTGAAAATAGCTAGGCTTGTTTTATATGCTTCGTAAGGTAAGATAAAATACTGTTCATTTAAGACCACTTTGAATAATATCAAAAGCTTTTTTTAAGAATTTTAAGTTTGAGAAGTTTGAGAATAGCCCATAACATGGCGGCAACCTACAAAACGCAACCGCGATGGGAGCGTGAGTGGCACCGTACTCCTGATCAGAAAATGGTCCGAGGAAAAAAGAGGGCATCGACGGCGACACATCTGGAATCCGCGTAGGCGAGGTAACCAGTTGTGTCAGACCATATGCCAAAACAAAGTCATAAACAGATCTACCCGCATGATTAGTTAAACGGGAACCAAGCCATTCAGCGTGGTGGGCGTTATAATCAAGCATCACGATCTCTGCGGATGGGGACCCGCTGTAGCAAGGAGTCTTCACCCATTTGGACGTGATCGATGAGTCGATCTATGTCGGCATTACGCTATGGGACCTATAGAGGTACCCGTAGATGCGGGGATGGTCGTCGCTGTCTACGCGCAGCCTTAGCCTTCTTTTCTGATATACACGCAAACTCCAGGTTAGAAAGAACAAGGCCGGCTTTGCCGTTTCCAGATGGTAGTGGATGGCGTTAAGGTTTGATGTTGCGGAAATTCACGGCTATCGTAGCAGGGGACGCCTTTGTTTTATTGCTCCGTTTGCCCTAAGCAGGTTTATTATCTCTGTCGCCACTCGCCAATCGCTACACAGCCACTTACCATCAGGTGGTACGTAAGTTTGTTTGTCATACGACCACTTACCGCGTCG